CGCAAAAGTTCGCTTTGGCCGACCCCCCCCCCTCCCCCAAGTGCGAACGTAATATGTGAACAATGCTTTACTAGTAATTTGTACACATGGATTAATGAAAATAATATTTAAAATTAAATTTGGCTTTATTGATATTGAGTATAAAATACAATAATAATATTATTATAAATTTAGTTATTAAAAAAATTAACTTTTAGGATTTATTATAATTTACCGGTAAACATTTATGATAATTTTAAGATTACCAAAATCAAAAATTAACTGGGTGCACTTCTGGAAAGTCTATATAGTGGTAATCCCATAAAGGCTTTAATTTTTAGGGTTGAATTTAAAGGCAGCCATAATTCGCGAATATTGTCCTGGTAATTTAAATTAAAAATATTTTAACATTAATTAAAACTTTCTACAATTAATAAATATACCTGATGATAGTGTCACAGTTTCAACACGATTTACGGCCTCAACTAATTAATAGTCACCATGATCAATTGATTTTGAGTAGCCAACGGACTCGGCACCTTTACCCCAGGTGTACTCAATATCAGCCATACTATGACCATCTATTTATAATAATTAAAAATAAATTAAATTAACAATTTCTAACAATATAGTAAATATTATGTATAGCTGATTTAATAATGTGATTAATTTTAAAATATGGATTGTTTAAATTGTGTATTAAATGTATGGTCAATGCTTTTTAATAATTTAATACTCAATATGGTTATGCTGAAATTGATTTAATTGTTTTGAGCTAGGTAACTTACATGACTCCATCTCAAGTGCGCATTCATCAGGGTTAGATCAGCTCCGGTCCCACTACCGATCCCACTACCGGTCCCACTACAGACCCCACTACCAGTCCCACTACCGCTCCTATTACCGGTCCTAATAAAGCAAATGCGTTCATAATCATTGTGGTGATCCTGGTGGTCATTGTTATAGTTTCACTGGTATGTGTGGGTGTCCTATATTTTATGGGGAAGGGAAGCCAACAAAAAAAGCAAAAGTCTGTGAGTTCGGATGTTAAAAGTAGTCAGACTCCCGGTGCAAAAGCGCCAAAATCTGATATAGTCACCACAATTGCCAGTACGCGAAGTATTCATTAGGATATTTGTAAAACTCATATCACATTAGTTTTATAACAAAAATTTTTTTTATAAACAACTAATTGATTGATTAGTTTTGTATTGTAATTTATTATATGCCCCATATTTTGATGACTATTTTTCATATGCAAACATAAACTATAAAATAAAATTTGATTTATTAAATATAAAATTAAACCATAAATTGATAAATAAATTTAGATTCTAAGTATATTTTTTGATACAAACATTTTTAATTAGATTTTATTTCTAATAAATAATAAAACACTTAATAAACTAAATAAAGATACAATTTTTTGTTAACAAAACACAGAATATTCTTAATAGTAGTATAGGAAACGTATATTTATTATGCGATTATCAGTGTTTGGCGTTTCATTTCCTACTTCTTACGGATCGGACGACACAAACACATTGTGAGCCGTGTTTGGAGCCAAACACCACTTCTTAAGTTTCCAACACTTTAGGCCTCAAAATCTCTTCTTATTCACAGCATTCATGTGTGCATTCATTTCGACTGCAAATGAGTTTTCGCTCTCAATCTCCAAACTCTACTCCACTTTACGATGTATTCAACGCTAACGTAAAGCGCATTCAATCATCTGTCCTGACCTTAACCTTCACACCAAAACCCAACCAAATCCCAAAACCCTTTCCCAAATCACTTTCCAATCCCTTTCCCAAAACCCTTTCTCAAATCACTTCCCAATCCCTTCCCTCTCCGTTACGAACGCCGAAAGAAACGGAAAGACATTCTCTCACTCTTACCACGAGTTTCAATAAGTTATTCATTTTATGTATGAATTGAATGGTAGGCGACATAAAAATTATACAATACTTATACCATATTTAGAAAGTGATGTGTTGTGTTAGGAACAAAACACTTTTTAATCCTTTTTGTAAATAAACTTCATTTATATAATGTAAGCACTTCTCAACTCCTTTTTTGTCGTTAATCGTAAGTATTTCCGTAATTCTTTGGCGTAAAAGGCTTTTGTCGACAACTATTAATCAAATTATAGCTAAAAGGTGTGAAAACCACTTTCAATATTACGTGAAAGAGTTTTATATATAATTTATGGACTTTTATACCAAATCGAAAGACTTCTATATAAATGAATTGAATTTTGATTTTTTTGCTTTAATATTAAAGAATTTTATTCGCATCATAAATCATTATGTGATGCTAAAACTAAATTACATCATTAAAGGGTGAATGTAATTTCAAATTATACAGTATCTCATTGTCAAGTAATGTCCAGTAATTTCTTAAGACATAACACTCTGCTCACAATAAAAGTTAGACTCAATCTGTTGTCCATTCATTCACAAAAAATCATTTACAAATGTCTTTCAAAAACCGCTGTAACATAAGTTACTCATAAATAAAAATACAAATAAATTTTCCAAACAATTACTGAGTTTTTCTGTGCCACTAATTATGCTATTCTTGACTGACTGACCGCCAAAACTGTGCCGTAGGTTAGGGGTAAGGGTTAGCGATACACACAAAAAACGATCTCATAATTCAAGTAACAAATAATACGGTCCGCGGAGTAGTAGTAAAGGGGAGAGCATTGGGAGGAATGGGTTAACAGGATTTGTGTTAAATGATGCGATTCAATGCAAATGACCAAATGGCCAAACCTATACTATTCGCACTGCAAATGAGAGAGAGAGAGAGAGAGAGAGAGAGAGAGAGAGAGAGAGAGACCAGTGGTTCTCCTAACCCAGTGTCGGAACAAAAGGAGAGACCGCTTATAATTTACTTCACTATTATATTATACACTAATGACTGCTATAATGAACTCGAAAACGAAAGCGAGTTTTAAATTACGGTTTCACAAGAGAAATATGTTTTTGGCGTTTATAGCAATTGAGACAATTTTTACGCAAAATCGACAAAATATAAACGAATTCATTGATTATTTCATCGTAAATATGATTAGTGAAAATATGTACGAATCGTTATAAACGCTAATTTATTTCAAGTCAAGTGGACGGACGGTCAGCGAAATGATGAGAGCGCGCCAGTAGTTTATGGTTGAGTGGGTTGAGTGGCGAACATGTTTTCGCTGAGAATATTCTGTGAATGCAGTCATAGCTATGTTTGCAATGTTAAGGACATTCTCGCACACAGTGATTGTAATGACGGATAAACACTGATTGCAATCAAATTTCAGGAAATATAACAAAGGAATGTGAGACTGAAGTGTAGTTTAAAAGTCTAAATGGGTATCCAATTTGCCAGTACAACTACCATTCCCTTACAAATCCAGTATGACTAACATGTGTTTCAAAAAAATCCGAATAAACGCAATAAAAATTAAGTTTATATCTGTTTGAATGTTGTTGTTATTGTAGTTTAATATGAGTTTTTAACTTTTATTCCACTATTTTTGGGCAATAAAATAAATGTCTTCCTATGTATGAAGTGGACTAATAATTAGGAGCCATTTATGCGGTCAGACATTCATAAATAAACCGATAAAACGGATCACGAAATGCACACAAAGCGGTAAACATTATATAAAAAAATTAAATTTAAGATTTTAGGAAATGGATCACAAAAAGAGATCCCGAAAACACAATTACAGACAATAGTGTTATTTAAGTATAGAATTAAACGAATTGAATACAAAAAAGTCAAACTATTATTACAAACCACATATGAATACGCGGTTTGCGTTCATTTCATAATAACTCACACTAAAGGAAACGTTTGACTAAAAAATACTACAATTTATGTTATATACAGAAAAAACAGAAATTTTTCGTTTTGAAAATACAAACAATTTAAATGAGAGTGTGTTTTGTGTATGTTTTTTCATATGAGTATTGACTTGAAGTCCGTGCGCCGGTATTAAAGTCGTAAAAATGTAATCATAAATTTGCTTAAATACTGACTAATAGCACCATTACCTATGAATACCAAATACGCACCGGTATTCTTCACACATGTGCTCTACACGACTAATATATAATTTATTTAAGCACTGAAGACTTCCTGAAGAATTGTGTCACAAGTCCTTTGATTGTGAACACCGGGAGAGAGAGAGAGAGAGAGAGACTGGACTGAGAGAGAGAGAGAGAGAGAGAGAGAGAGAGAGAGATAGTGTTTTAGTACTGCCTTTTGAAGTATTGTGTGTCCACTGAATTCAAGAATTGGTGAATTGGTTAACACCTGGTCTTACTCTTAAAGACATAAGTGGACATACATTCCCATAAGACTTGGAGGGCAGACAATACTCTTTTAATACCAGAAGGCTATACAATGACAACACAAATATACATAAAGTGCAGGAATTTTAGTGACACTTCTCTATGTTATGGGAAGACATGAATAGTCAATGGAATTGTAGTCTCAATAAAGAGAAGTAATAATTTGATCCATCGATTCATTGACAGTCCACCATCCAGTTTACCCACACGTTTAGTGGGTATTGTCAACAGCCAGTGCCCATCGCATCCCTCCCCCGGACACACCAACCCATCACTTGATTCCGGCGCACAAAACCAAATAAAAAGCCCTAAACTTAACGTAACATTTATGTGTCCCAAGAAAATCCCTTTTAATCCCTTTTCTCACTCATATATTATTGTATTAAAAGCAAAAGAGATTTTAATCCCTTATTTTTAGGCAAACAAACAATTTTTTGTGTTATATTTTGTGCGAATTTTCTCCTCTTTTTACTCCTTTTTTCACTCGACTCTCACATGTCTTTTCACAACTCTTTGCTCTTGTAATTCATAACACTTTTTGGTGATATATTTTCCGTAAATATCGGATTAAGGCTTTTATAGCATTTAGTGTCAAATCATAATAATAAGTCAAAAAACGTGAATATTTTTGTTGTTCACACATTTGTCAGCTAAAGGTATTGGGAAAATAGATTTGTATCACAATCACAAGTTCTCACATAACCTGGGTTATTAAAATTCTTTAAATAATTCCTATATTCTGTTACAATTTTCCATAAATTAACATAAATTTTAAAAATTCTATACTTACAAAATATATCTCATTAATTCACAACTTTAACCATTTTTACAGTTGACTATAGAATCTGTGGTCTACTATACAGAGGTTATTGTGTACTGAATATAAATCCTCTAACTTTTAGCAATACGTTATAATGGATTGAATTCATTGACAAAAAAGTATTTTTCAACAAATATAAGATCAGAAAATTTTCTTTAATGGGATTTCGTGTTTATTTATTTGTTTGTTTAGGTTTAATACTTATTTGATCGTAAAAGTCACGAATCAGTCCTACAATTCACTATTCAATCCATTCTTATGTGGTTTATTCATATCGTGTGCTCAACCTTTAACTCCGGGTTCACGTGTATATACCTGACCGGCCATCAGTATATACCGTTTATTACCGTTTTTCACACTCAAAAGTCTAGAAAACTAAACACCGTTTAGGACAACAAAAATATATGACAAGAATATATAGTATATTCAACCGGTATTTGTTGTATTGAATCAGTCGTAAGAATTTATTCTTTAGTCCCCAAAAACGTCTGCAATATCTGTAGTGAAAGTGGAGTCCATCTGTTGTTGAGAAGCAAATGATTTGTAATAATTTTTACTTAAAATAATTTTTGCGCAAAAACTTATGTTCGAGAAAAAGGAGAAATTTTTTTCCGGTCAATAAAAAATAACGATTTCCAGGTGTTTGCCTTTAAAAAAGGAACCAGTAGTCCATATTCACACAGCACAGACACACACTCACCATCCCTGCCCTACCAGTGATATCCGAAGGCTAACCGCACAAAAAATTGGTGAAAAAATTGGTTAAAAAAGATTATGTGTTTTATGTGTTTGTGGAGTGAACTCCTATTTTATCGTCTCTTCTTCTCTTTTCCCTTAATATCCCATTCCTTATGGGAGGGGAAAGGGATATAAGGCCTTCAGATTCCCATATAACTTATTATGCATCAATGAATGGGAGGTCTACCAAAAAAATGTATTAACAATATATTACTAGAAAGTTTGTATTCTTGTACTTATATACAAAATTCTAAGTAATTTACTAAGAGTTTCAGATTTTATCAATTAATTACAACAAGGGTAGCCCTCGACATCCCTGGATATCCCCGGCTTTTATATGAATAAAGAATTTTGTTTAAGTGTTTGAGAAGCGGAGGAATAAAATGTTTGAGATTTAAAGAGAGAATTAAGAATTTATTTGAGAATCGTTTGGGAAATGTCTCACAAGTAGTCGGATATTCTTCATGTGTTTCTTGATTTGCAAATCTATTTAAATGATTATATGGCTTAACATCTAAAACATCTGTGACTTTGTATGAAATGTAGTTTTTTTTGTCAAATATTGTTATTTAAATATTTGAATAGATATAAAAATTATTATATTTCTTGTAATAAGCTATGTTTAGCTATAGATATGCTAATGGACTTTTTTTAAATAAAAGAATTGATAAGAATTTCTTTATTATTAGGTGTTATGAAAAAATGTTTTGTTAACTGTTTTTGTGTTATATTTCTTGTAATAAGCTATGTTTAGCTATAGATATGCTAATAGACTTTTTTTAAATAAAAGAATTGATAAGAATTTCTTTATTATTAGGTGTTATGAAAAAATGTTTTGTTAACTGTTTTTGTGTAACATTTTTAGTTAGTGACCAAAAAAAACTTGTTTCTCAAACGCCTATTGAATGTCAAAAGAAAAAGCAAATAGTTCTCTAAAAAAGTATTGATAGACATAAAAATTACAATAAAATGTCTTCCTCTTCCTTTTCAATGACAAAACCCAGACCTGACA